TGACGTGAACAATAAAAAAATGCGTGTTACACGGCATTAAATTAAGAAGGCAATCCGTTTGTCCCTAAATACGTGATTATATTAATTGATTTTCGATTGAAATGACACAATATCAGAGATCTGAGCCCTCAGCAACCGCGCTGGACACTAAACGGTACATCGGCGACTTTCGCGCTCTTTTTAAGCTAACGCTCCCGCGTTCTGTGGGTTTACGGGGTTCATGTGCGGTCTGTTTGCGCACATCCATCCCGTCGGGCCCCTCGCAGATGTTGGTTTTGGACTCTGGCTCTGTTTTGGTAGGATGTGAGAAGTTCAGAGGTCAGTGCTGCCATGGAGACGGTGATGGAGCGCGGGCTAACGAGCGGATGTCCAGCGGGACTGCCGGTCGGTTCCGCCGAGCCCGCGGTGATCTGGAGCGGCTCTGAGAGGGCTTCACGCGGAGCTTCCATCTCCTTCAGCGGGACTAAACAAACCGTGTCAGAGAGCCGTCAACCCACACAAAACACAACGCTTAAATTAATACATAATGAACACACACTGGCTCTGAGGAGACTTTCACACAGCTTATTTTTACACTACAGTACTGTGCTTTCCCGTGTCATTAAAATACGTTTTAAACATGGTAACACCACAGTGCTGTGTGTGTCAAATCGGTATTTTTACGATGCTGCTTGTCATTCATGAATGACGCTGTGTGGGTTCATAGTTTAGATGTAAACTTCTAAGTTTGATTTCACTTGTATTTGTTCACCTATTTTCGTATTTTTTGAAATAGACAAGGTGGTCGCCATAGCATCAGTACACTAATGAACAGATACACATGCTAAATTGTCAACGATACTTCATTTTATATTTTACAAATATATCACAAAATTGGTTATTAATAATCTGACATCTACTATGATAAAACCATGTTTTTTACATTTACCATGGTGATACATTTTTTGGGGCATTTACCATGATGAAACCATGTTTTATGGACATGTATAAAGGTAAAACGTATAGTTATGGTCCATTTTCTTTAATGGATGTCTACTAAGGTGGCGTTATGTTTTTTTAGACATTTACCATGGCGATATCATGTTTCTTTTGACATCGACTATAGTAATACCATGTTTTTTTACATTTACCATGGTAATACCACATTTTTTAGATGTCTACTATGGTGACATCATGTTTTTTTGGACATCTACTCTGGTGATGCCATGTTTTTGGACATGTACAATGATAAAAACTTTTTCTCCACATTTACCATGGTGATACCATGTTTTTTGGATCTCTACTACGCTGACATGTTTTTTTTTAGACATTTACCATGGTGATACCACTCCTTTTTGGATGTCTATCATGGTAATGCTATGTTTTTGAACATATACAATGGTAAAAACACATCTTTGGGGATATTTACTATGGTGATACCATGTTTTTAGGAAATCTACATCTACAGTACTATGGTCATCCCATGTTTTTTTTGGACATGTACCATGGCGAAGTCATGTTTTTTGGACATCTACTGATACCATGATTTTGGACATGTACCATGGTAAAACCATGATTTTGGATACCGTGATTACTGTATGTTTTTGAATATATTAAATGGTGATACACTGTTTTTGGACACATATACACATTTTTTTGAGCATATACTATGTAGTACCAAGGTATTCTTTGAAAAACATTGGAAAACCATCTAAGTACCATGGTATATGAATATGCAATCATTCAATACTATGGTATATATATTAAAGTACCACGATTTTACCATTTTACGCCATCACTAGTCAGTAAGTGTGATATAAATAAGGGTTGATGTTCCCAAGTGACGGTGCATATTATACAGAATGTTGATTTGATTGGCATCTAATCTAATATGTTAATTTACTAGTCTAATAAAATGTTTTAGGGGCACAGAAGTGGGTCGACAGACAGGCAAACACTCTCCGCAGACAATCCTGCCCTTAAAACACACTCTAAACACTCATTCAACACGCTACTAGGCCCAATTAGTGCCGCTAATTACCCGGAGATCTCCTTTACATGACAATCAGGAGAGCTGGTGCTGTAAAGAAGAGGCTGGAAAATCAACTCAAGAAACTACCCACAATGCCACACACCGACACTGATTGATTATGACGGCTAGTTTTCTGACAATTTGGTATTAAGTGTGGGAAAAAGTATTTAGTCTGTTCACTTAAAAAAAAGTAATGTGGTATGAGCATGTTTCTTACACATGGTACCATGTTCATTTGGTTTGGCCGCAAAGCTCTATTTCTGAATGTTCTCGGAGCAATCGCACCGTTAATGTTCTAAATACATTTTTGGTTATTCAAACAGTATGGGAATGTTACTTCTGAACGTCCCATGAATGCTGGACGTTTGTACATTTTTAAAAGTTACATTTCAAAACATTCTTAGAACATATTCCTTGACAGACAGATGCGTGTATGTTATTGGGACAGACTTCATTCAGATGTAGTGCTTTTAACAAGCCTCCAATAGAAGGCGACGAACAGAAACCAGACCGTTTCCAAAACCAGTGCTATTCCTAAGCTTTAAAACCATTACAAACTGAAAAAAAAAGTAAATGAAGAAGAAGCTTGCACTTTGACCCGGGAGACAGAAACTGATTACATTATTTTGTGAAGTGAGCGGCGACTCCTACAAACTTCCTCCTGGTTACATTGTAGCAAGTCTACATGCTGAAACCTCAGAATACAGGTATCATATGCTCTCTTAATGTTTGTGATATGAAACTTCATTGTGATGTGCAACATGAAATAATGACTTTAGTTCGTTTATGAATGTAACAGCTGTATGAGCAACAGTTTCACTTTCATCTTCTGTCACTGAACAAAAGCTAAATGTGTTCAGTGTTTAGAAGCAGAAACGTTGTCTCTTGTGAAGAGTTTCTGGTTTATGTTCAGTGCTGCAGAACTTCTGAATGTGGAGATACAAGTGATTCAACATTTAATAGCATTCTTTCAATCATTTGGATACTTGAGTTCAATCTGTTTTCAGTAATCCAGAGAGTATCTTGTTTCTATCACATATGAGTGTTTGTTCAGTGATTCACAGCAAGAGTTAAACCCGAAAACTGAACAACAGAACAGTGATGGGGCTTCACCTAGTCTGGAAGAATGCACAGAGACTGTGTTACTGATTGAAAATCACTGAAATCTCTTACAGGACGATGAACAGACGTCAGGAGTCAGAGAAGATGCTAAAGAAATAGATGGAGGAGAGAACAGAATATCAACATGTCAACCTCAGAAACCACGGGTAAAAATCACAGTCGCATCATTGTTTAAAATTATTCTAAAAGAACATTTTCATTCCATTCGGTCAATACAATTACCAATTCTTGGTTACACTTTATGTCCTTGTTACGGTGTAAATATACATTTAAGTACTGAGTAATATTAATTAACTACATGAACTTACTATATGGTTAGGGAAAGGATTAGGGTTTGGCTTGCATGTAATTATGTATAATTTATTGTTAGTATATTAGTAAGTACATGTAACAAGGACACCTTAAAATAAAGTGTTACTAAGCACTTTATTTACATTCAGGGGCAGTATACATCATATCTAAAAAAATCCATTTATTTTTGCATATTTAGTGAAAATTATCAAAATAATTTTAGTCTCCTCAACAACCTCCAAACATTTATTCTGATGTTTCTATCAATGAAAACTCTGCTCCTGCTTGCACTGGCCTCCATCAAGAGGGTAGGGGACCTGCACGCATTTTCGGTTGACGAATCGTGCCTAGAGTTTGGGCCGGCTGACTCCCAGGTAATCCTGAAGCCCCGGCCAGGCTATGTGCCCAAGGTTCCCACTACTCCCTTCAGGAATAGGTGGTAACACTTGCATCCTCCTGGGCGCTGGCTCGTGGTGCCTCGTTGACAGATATTTGTAGAGCTGTGGGCTGGGCGACCCCCAACGCATTCACTAGATTCTATAGCCTTCGTGTGGAGCCGGTATCCTCCTGTGTTCTCACCTCAAACGGGTAGAAGCACTGAGAGGCCCCAGTTTAGTGACGGCTTGCTAAAACCGCTCCAGAGAGTCCGTACTGTAGACCCTGTCAAGCTCCTCCATCCCCTCGGCAGGCCCTTGATGAATCCGTGAGAACTGATAGAGGGCTGGGTTCCATATGTAGAGACCAAAGTGGATCCCATATGTGTAAAGTCCATGGTATAGCCTCAGAGCCCGTGTTTCCCCAGCAGACTTCTGCAATTTCCAAGAGAGCATATAATCAACTCTAGTCTTCCATATGCACCTAAACAGTTGTTCATATGTGTAAGTTCTTCCGAATCCTCCTTCGGGAAGGATGGGGCTTCCGCGGCGTTCCTGTTCCAAGTGGAACGGGTACGTTTTCCCATTGTTATCCAGTCTCACTGAGTGGGTAGTGCAAAAGTGACTGGCCTTCTTGTTGCGAGCCCTGGCCTACACCAAAAAGGGAGCGCAGGAGGCTCGCACAGGACACTGGAAGGGGCAGCATCCATGGCACTTAGGTAGGGATCCCAATTCGTCGGTCACGATGTGAATCATAGTAACTGACTGAAAGGGACTGTCTCGGTTAAGTATGTAACCATCGTTCCCTGAAGGAGGGAATGAAGACGTCACATCCCGTCACCACGGCTGCTGTACCACCGCTGAGCGGCCGGGTTATCACCTCGGCTCCGAAGCGAAAAGCTGGTATGTGTTGCACCCTCTACCTTTTTATGCTCACGCTGTGATCAGCAGCAGCTGGATGCAATCATCGCATGCCAATGTCCATTGGCTCATTTAGTTTACACTCGAAGTATATTGGTCTCTTGAAGCGAGATTCCAATTCGTCGATCACGACATGATGTCTCCATTCCCTCCTTCAGGAAATGAGGGTTACATATGTAACCGAGACATTTTGCTGTTTTAATATTTTGTTCAAAGATGTTTTCTGTTGGGTGATGAAGGTCTTTTGTTTCATACAGTGATTGTCGTCCACAATCCTCCTCGTAGGAGAAGATGGAGCAAAGAACCACCTCCTCAGAGTAAGTATTTATCTACATAAATACATGAAGTTATGTGTGGAAAATATAAACAATTTATCCCCATCAAAACACAAGTGATTAAATGTATCTTCTGCTGCTGGATTCTGGTTATTTTGATCTGTGATGTTGGATTAAGGTCAAGATCCTGGCATCATAACATGTTACATATCACATGTGTTGCTGTATGATGTGAGAACTGTGGACACTGAATGTCTGATTTGACTCTTTGCAGTGAGGATTGTTGTTCTGGGTTCGAGCGTGTCAGAAAACAGTCTGGTGGGAAACTTCATCTTAGGACGAGCAGCGTTTGACAGTGAAGCTCCTCCAGATGTTGTAGAGAGAGTCGGAGGAAGACTGAAGGACAGACATGTGATGGTCATCAACAGTCCTCAGCTGCTCCAGACGAACATCTCAGCTCATCAGCTCACACAGACAGTGAGAGAGTGTGTGCATCTGTCTGATCCAGGACCTCATGTGATCGTGCTGCTCCTCAGACATGAGCCGTGTTCAGCAGAAGATCAGGAGCGTGTGGAGAAGGTGCTGCTCTCTTTCTCTGAGCAGGTTTATCAGCACACCATGGTGCTCACAACACAAGAGCCCACAGAAACCAGTGACATCCTACAGAACATCATTCAGAAATGTGCAAACAGACACTTCGGTCTTCAGAGGAGCAGCTCTCCTGATGATCTGCTGCAGATGTTTGAGGACATTGTGAAGATGAACGATGGACTGCGTCTGGATTGTGCCGAAGGTTCACAGTTTTTCACAATGGATGATATTGTGTGATGAAATTTGATGTTTATATAGGTACATTAATGTTTTTATTTTCTTCTGTTCTCAGTTTCAGAGTGTAAAAAGCTGAATCTGGTTGTGTGTGGGAGTGACGGGACATTGAAATCCTTCATATCAGGTCTGATCCTGCAGCAGACCGACAGAAGATCAGACGTGGAGCTTCGTGTAATAGAGCTTCCAGCTCTGATCCATCTCTCAGAGGAGGACGTGCTGCGTCAGACTCTCCGCTGTGTGTCTCTCTGTCATCCTGGAGTTCATGTGTTCATCCTCATCATTCCTGATGCTCCACTTAATAATGAAGACAAAGCTGAAACGGAGAAGATCCAGAGGATCTTCAGCCCGAGAATCAACAAACACATCATGATCCTCATAAAGCAGAATCCAGAGCGTCAGACAGCAGAACTAAATGAAGAAACACAGTCTGTCATTGAGAGTTTTGGAGGACGACATAATTTCATTGACCTGAACACACAAGTGTCCACACTGATGGAGAACATCGAGCAGATGCTGGAAGAAAACAGAGGAGAGTTTTTCTCCACAGAGACATTTCTGGATGCTCAGATGATAAAACTGCTGAAATTTGAAGAGATGAAGAAGAAAATTCAGTCACTAGAAACACATGTACTGTCACAAGGTAATGAGCAGACGATCATTTTGGGTCTTAAACTACAGAGCATGTTTTGAAATTGATTTTTTGTTACAGTAGAGTTTGATTCTATATTAGAGCTTTATACATTTGAATTTTAAACCAAAGAACTGCAAAATTCAACATTCTAAAGTTAAAAAATTCCAAATTCAATTTAAAAATTCCAAAGTCAAAGCTTCAGTGTTCCACAGGAAATTTTACAAAAGATTATCTGATCATTTTGGCCAATCACTGAAGAGAAGTGCAGAATTTGACAGAGCAACTGATGAAAATATAGAAAAGCGCACCCTGTGTGAATTGTAAAGTAGCATGTCAATCTTACTTCCATATACTATACTTACCAAGCAGATAGCAGACCTCTTTTATGTTACAGAATTCAATTTTGTCCGGAAAAAAAACTTTAGGCTGTAAAACTGATGCATTTCCACTCTTACAGGTTCAACAGAGAGAGAAGATAATCTGAGGATTGTGCTGCTGGGAAAAACTGGAGTCGGGAAAAGTGCAACTGGAAACACCATCTTAGGAAGAAAAGCATTCACAGCAGAAACATCTCAAGAGTCTGTTACTAAAGACTGTCAGAAAGAGACAGCTGAAATCAGCGGCAGACACATTACTGTGATCGACACTCCAGGACTGTTTGATACTGAACTCAGTAATGAAGAAATCCAGAGAGAAATCAGCAACAGCATCTCCATGATCCTGCCTGGACCACATGTGTTCATCATCGTGCTCAATTTAGGACAACGATTCACTAAAGAAGAGGCAACAGCTGTGGAGATCATCCAGGAGACGTTTGGAGAGAAATCTTTAATGTTCACCATGGTGCTCTTCACCAGAGGAGACTTTCTGGAGAACAAAACCATTGATCAGTGTTTGGGAAAACCTGGATCTGCTCTGAATCAGCTGATTGAAGCCTGTGGAAACAGATCCCTTGTGTTCAATAATAAAGAGACTGGAGACCGAACACAGGTGACTGATCTACTGCAGAAGATAGACAACATGGTGAAAGCAAACGGAGGGAGTTACTACTCATGTAAGATGTTCAGAGAGATGGAGAGAGAAATACAAGAACAACAGATGAAGATACTGATGGAGAGAGTCAGAGAAAGAGAAGAAGAGATGAAGAAACTAGAAGAAGAGAAAGACAGAATGAAGATAAAGATGGAGGAACATCATGACAAAGAGAGAAAGAGACGAGAAGAAGAATTTATTGAGAGAGAAGAACGATATAAAAGAGACATCAAAGAAAGAGAGGAACAAGAGAGAAAGATGAAAGAGGAGATGAAGAGAGAACGAGAGGAATGGGAGAAACAGAAACAAGAGGAGAGACAAAGAAGAGAAGAAGAGGAGGAGAGAAGGATAAAGAAAGAACAAGAAATGCAGGATGAATATAATCAGAGACTTAAACAAGAGGACGAGAGAAAGAAAATGTTGGAGGAGGAACGACAGAATCAGGACAAAGAGAGAGAGAGAAGAGAAGAAGAACTGAAAAGAGAAATTACAGAACAAGAGAATGACAGGAAGAAAAGAGAAGAAGAATATAAAACACTAATGAAAGAGAGAGAAGATCTTCGATCTAAACATGAAGAAGAAGAAAACAAGACGAAGATCCGGATGGAGAAACTGAACAGAGAACGAGAAGAACTGATGGAGAAACATGAAGAAGAGAGAGAGAGAATGAAGATGATGATGGAGGAAGAACGACAGAATCAGGACAAAGAGAGAAAGAGAAGAGAAGAGGAACTCGGAGAGAGAGAAGAACGATATAAAAGAGAAATGAAGGAACAGGAGGAGCAGATGAAAAGTGTAAAAGAGGAGTATAAAAATGAAATAAAAGAAATGAGGAATGAAACAGAGACTGTAAAGAAAGAAAAAGCAAATCTTCAGATCAGATTCGACACAGAAACAGACAGACTGATGAACAGAATAGAGAATGAAAGACAACATCACGAGAGAGAGAGAAAGAGAAGAGAAGAAGAATTAAATGAGAGAGAAGAGAGATATAAAACACAAATAAAGGAGAAGGAGAGAGAGATGAAAGAGGAGATGAAGAGAGAACGAGAGGAACGGGAGAAACAGAAACAAGAGGAGGAGAAAAGTAGAGAGAAAGAACAGAGAGCTTGGGAAGAACAGATTCAGAGACTGAAGAGTGAAATGGAGGGAATAGTCAGAGAGAAAGAGAGAATAGAAAGAGAGAAACAAGAACAGCTAGAGGATTCAGAGAAGAGACTGAAAGAAGAAAGAAACATGCGAGAAGATCAACAGAAGACTCTTGAAGAACAGCATGAAGAAGAGCTGAAGAGAAGACGAGTGCAGTGGAGAGAGGAATATGAGAGAGAGGAAGAGGAGGAGAAGAAGAAGAAGAAGATCTGCTCTAAAACTGGTCCTTCACTGCAGGTAAATAACAGAAATGAATTATTGCTTGTGATGATTATAATAACAATTGTACTATTGTTTTAACTTTTTGTATTATTGTTTTTTTACACAGGGAGAAAACCGGGACATTGAACCAGCAGAAAAAATACAGAATCTATTTCACAGACTTCATCTTGAAGACAAACACCTCAACAGACTGAGAGCTGCAGATGTTCTTCAGATAACTGCACATTCATTACAGTCTCATGAGTCTTGTGCTGAAGAAGAGCTGGTTCAGACTTTCCTACAGAAACTACTGATGATGAACTACAGAGCACGATACATTCAAACTAAGCAGACCAAAGATCACATGCAACAAAGAGACAGTGACTCACCTGAAGATGAGAGTGATATTTTTGAAAGAATGTCTAATAAAACCACAAGTCAGTCTGAGCGAATCCACCCGATGGATGTCCAGATGGCTGTGTTTCATCGTGCTGATGTTTTCCTGAAGCAGCTGATGGTCACTAAACTGTCCCAGTGCCAGTGCGCTCTGCCTCTGCTTGTTCCTGATCCAATCACACGACAGATTGAGTTTCCTCTCTGGACATTCAGACAAATCAGCAAGAGCTGGAAGATCAGAAACACCAGAAATGAGATGATCAGTCAAACCTTGCCGATCTACAAGGCAGAAACTCCAATGGTGTTCTTCTTCAGGTTTGGCTCTGTGTCTTCCTCCAAGTCTCAGCTGATGAACAGTCTGATTAATGAGAGACACAACACATTCTTCCACAGATACTGCCCAGGCAGCAGCAGAACCAGAGTCCTGATGGACGGAGTGGTGGAGATCTCCTGGTTCTGCCCATCTGGATCATATAATGATCATTTCAGTGAGTGTGTAGCATTCTGTAATCTACACGGTGATGCAGGAGACCA